TTTTAAAACCTTGATCAAGTGAAATTTGCATAACAACAGCGAAGAAACCCTGTTGTTCATAGTGTTTATTTGTGTACTGGCAGCGAAGAAATCCTGCCACACACATCATTGTGCAGTTAAGTTGCACAAATTGTAGAATCTGTTGGGATTTGAGTCTCAGTGTTCTTGTGATTTAGCTGCAGTAAATTCCGTTAGAATGAGAATAGTCTCACATTAAACGCTATCAGTTTAAGCACGATTGGAGTTAAGGCACAGTACCTTAAACTAACACTAGAGGGCAGGCTGTTTAAGTATCTAACACTTCTTGAACTCCTTCTACCTTCCTGTTTTCACCTTGGGTGGGTGCACCCACTCCCCCTTGTGGGCATTCTCTGCTAGGTCGACTTGGTTCTCTAATTTGTTTGATTTTAGTTTCCCTTCTGCTTCATTGGTCATTATCATTCTAGCCATTCTAGTTACCTGCAGTTTCATTTTTAATTTGATTTATTCATTTATTTTTATTTCGTGTTTTTGTATTAGTTTTTCATATCCAGTACTATTTTTGTTTTACTTTATTATCTTTTATTACTTTTATAATTTTGTTTATTTTGTTTGTTTTGTTCCCTTTTTTATTTTAATTTTAATTTTTAATCAGGGTTCTCGCCCCCTTTTTTCTCTCACTTTACCACTCACTTATTTAAATTTAGTTTAAACAGTGTTTGAATTCAAATTTAAAGTTAATTTCTGTATTCTAGCCATTTTTGTTCACCTATAAGTAACACTCCCTCTAGTGCTTAGTTGGTGAAGTGACAGTTGCCTCCACGGCGGATCACAGTGAGCTGCCACGGGATCCAGACTGAATCACCTCAATCCATCACTAAGCCTAGCCATAGAATACTGACCCATCCAGCTAGCGCAACCCCAAAATCAGGTTGCTCCTCAATCTTTAAGGTAATTTAGCCGCTCCTGCTATCCAAGCAAGGTTGCCACACTAGAGTAGCAGCACCCTCTACTCGGTAGGCTCTGTCATAACCCCTAACAGCAGTAAAAGGCTTAAACCTGCTCTCTCCTCCATCTCTCTCTGTGTTTTGATTTGTTGGTTTTTCATTTTGTTCTGTTTTGTTTGCCTAGAGACCAAACCTTTGAGAATCATCAGGGAAGGCTGAGTAATAGATTGACGACCCAAGCTGCCAAAATCTTTAGACGATCACGCTGTCAACAATCTTAGTTAGATCCTTTCCGGTGCCCCCAACAAAAATTAGACACACCGTGCCATTCACGGCCGTAAATACTTGCATTGGCCTTTTCGTGCTGTCCCTCTCTCCCTCTCTCTCTCTCTCTCTCTCTCCCTCTCTCTTTTCACCAGTGAGCCAGCATGTCTCGCTCATCCAGCCCTGATGCCCACTGGGATCGACTAGAGTCCTGGCTGAGTGCCATAACTGGTACACTCCTGTTTGAAGCACCCGGCGGCCTGCAGCACCTGAGCCGGGAACAGCTCAACGACAACCTGAGCGCCCTGATGTCACACGATCTGACACAGGACTACAGCCACAAAGATCTCACCAAGATCATCGGGCCCCTCGCCCACAACCTCCTCGCTCAGGCAAAGCTGGGAGAAGCAAGCATCTCCCGCATGGAACAGGAAGCAGCAGCGCTGAAGCTTCAGGCTGAGGAGGCTCAGAGAAACCTGGTGCTTGCTCAAAGTCATCTGGACCAGCTAACGTCGGAGACTCAGCACCAGCACAGGACGGCGGATGAAAAGGACCCAGAGCTGCAGGAGGAAGTAGAGAGACTCCAGAAAGCCTTACCTGATCTCTGTGTAGACACAACATGCTCATCACCAAGTGGTGACATCACTCAAACACCTCAGCTGACTGCGGAACCACCAGAACCAGCCAACATCCCGCAACACACCTCCAGCCAGGACCGCAAAGTACCAGAAAGTGCAGTTTTGATGGTCTGCCTCCCTGACGAGCCACCAGAGCATGTGAGCGAAGCGGAGCGGTGAGACGCTCCGCTACGTTTTCCGCTCTATGGACGTGCACTCCGCTCAGTCGCTCTAACCGCACAAGCAAGCGCTCTGTTAATATACCGCTCATGGTCCCCGTGAACCAATTCCCGCTCAGATCCTGCTCCGACATAAAATTTCTCTAGTAGGCCTAATTGTTTACTGTTTGTAACGAAATTCTTGAATTATTGTCTAAAATTAAGCATGGTGATAAATAGCAATTATCATGTTTCAGAGCGAAATTCTTACATTCTTCTTAATTTTATTAATTGTAATGCATTAATTAAAATGTATTAAATATATGAATCTAACCTTAGCAAACCTACCTAAAATGCAAAAACTGAAAAAGTGTATATCACATTAGAAAATGAGGTGAGACTGGAGGCCCTGGTGGACACTAGAGCTGACCTCACTTTGATGTCAAGCCAACTTTTCGACAGACTTCAAAGTGAAGCCAAGAGGCAGAATCGAACTCTTAACTATCAGAGGTGTGTGCTGAATGTGCAATCCTACAGCCAAAATGAGGTCGAACTTGAACAGGTAGCTCCAATTCACCTGACCATCGGCCCTATGAACTTTGTGCACCCCGTGTACATTTCTCCATTGGACACATATCCTCTCCTCATTGGCAAAGACCTGCTAGATCGCTTTGAACCATTGCTAGATTTTAAACAACTGAAAATCTGGGCTCAAGTGCGAGAACCTCTGCCTCCGCAGTCACCAAGACCACACCAGACAGACTGTCAGGTTACAAAGGTCGCGGGAACGTCTCGGCCCAAGAGCAAGGTTCAAGGTCGCTGCTCTGCACTTTCCAGTTAGCCAAAGACTCCGACACATACGGCCCCCAGGTTAAAGGGGGCTTACAACTGAATGATGTCACAACAACAGACCCCATACTAGCACTGTGGGCAGACAATTCAGCCATCAGCCTCTCACTATTCAATGCTCTCAAACAGCACACAACGAGCATTCCTTTTGCTAACAAGCGCACACGATTCCCTTTGAATCCCTGCCCATCAGCTATGGTGACTGCCAAGGGCACCTGTGCCCTGAACTTGAGGTGGAATGACAGGTCTCTAACCCATTACTTCCTGGTCCTTCCAGACGCACCGCATGATATCTACATTGGAGCAGACATTCTGATTCGCCTCAGGGCTCACGTGGACATGATCAATGAAGTGATATGGGCTCCAATGACCTCACAGTCACCCACGGTTCCTGTCAACCTTGAGAACCTCCTTTCAGGCCAAACCATCCCTGAGGCCTGCACGCTAATCAATGAAAAAGAGACTTTAGTGCCAGCTTACACCAAAGGGGTCACTGTTCGACTCAACCTGCGAAGCGGCCAAGCTCTCAGCCACACCCTAGGCTTCTTCAAACCTTCACCCGAATGTGGGGAACTGGGCCTCACTTTGGAAGCCACACCCTTCGTTGAAGTGACATCTCGGGCAGTCTACATCTTGTTCAATAATTGCACGGCAACAAATGTCAGAGTGCCTAAGGCATACCATCTGGGTTGGCTAGTGAGTTATGACTTCCATGACTTTGATCTAATTCTACCAATAATTGGACCCATCTCAGATTCAATGATTCCAGAAGAAAGCTCAGGCCACACAGTGTCAAC